TTTATCATTGACATGTGGCTCTTGGAGTTGATTTTCTCTGCAGTATGAGTACACCAGTCCTATTGATGGACAGGTACTCCAGCATTCTGCTCTAAAGTCTGCTCTGAATCTCACTTGTGGATGTATGTGTGGACATGTGTCAGTTTCTCCAGGGCACGTATCTGGGAGTAGGGCACAGGTATCTTTTCTTTTCTTTTTTTTTTGAGAGAGGTCTTCCTCTGTTGTCCAGGCTGGAGTGCAATGGCATGATCTCAGCTCACTGCAACCTCCGCCTCTGAAGGTAAGTGATTCTCCTTCCACAGCCTCCTGGGTAGCTGGGATTACAGACACATGCTACTACGCCTGGCTAATTTTTGTATTTTTAGTAGAGATGGGGTTTCACTATGTTGTCCAGGCTGGTCTCAAAACTCTGACCTCAACTGATTTGCCCCACTCAGCCTCCCAAAGTGTTGGAATTACAGGAATGACCACGTGCCTTGCAGGCTGAATATCTTCAACCACTTTTTTACAAATATATCTAGCAAATTTCAAATACATGTGCTTTTTGACTGATAATTCACTTCCTGGATTTAAATTTAAAAACTCAGCCATAGTCGTTATGTTCTACGAGGATCAAGGCAACTGTCTGTAATAGCAAAAACACCTACCAAAGGGAGAGCTACCTTTAACAACATCCACAAATATTTATTAATTACTGACCATGTGCATGAGACACTGCTACAGGTGCCAGAAACAGCTATCTCCCAAACAGGAGAAGTCGACAAAAGAAACAAAGCTCCTGCCCTCACAGAGCAGAAATAATGGCAGCACCTCCAGGGAGAAAAGAGGCAAACTCCTCATCTGACACGATTTTCCCATGTAACATTTCCAGAACACTTTGACACTTGAGTGGCTGGAGGATGCCCAGCAGCATTTCTGCCTCTACCACCAGATGCAGTAGTGATCCCAAGTCCTGACAGGTCATGTAAGTGTCCTTTGTGGGGGCAAAACTGCCTCGGTTGAGCCACTTATTGGGACCACCAACTGGCCCTCTTTGAACTCAGCCTTCTGGTGTGACCCTAAAACAGTAGAAGTCAATAACAATGTCCGACAGGACAGAATAAAGACTCAGCTGAGATTAGGCTGGAGTGCGTCTCGTCTGTCTCTTGTCATACTAGTACAAATAACAGAGTCAAGTGTACGAGCTGGCACCACAGCCCTGGAGTACATTTTCTTGAGCTACTTGTGAATCAAATGACAACTAGATTATTGCATAATGTCTGTTTGATTTTACTAAGTCACATAGAATATCTCTCTCTGGGCCACACACATATCACACCTGTAATAGCAGTGCTTTGGGATGCTGAGGCGGGAGGAGAGTTGGCAGAAGCCCAGGAGTTCAGAACCAGCCCTGGGCAGCAAACCAAGACCCTGTCCCTACAAAACATTAAAAACTAACCCCCAAAAAAAAAACCCGCAAAAAAACAGACTCTCACTCTGTTGCCTCGGCTGGACTGCAGTGTACGAAATTCTTGGCTCCTGGCCTCCACCTCCCGAGAGGTTCAGTGATTTTCCTGACTTGGCCTTGCTGGTAGCTAGGCTTGCAGGCCTCTTCCACGACTGGCTAATTTTTGTATTTTTAAGTAGAGACAGGGTTTCACCATGTTGGCCAGACTGGCCTCAAATTCCTGATCTCGGGTGATGCCCGCCTCAGCCCCTCCCAAAGTGCTGGAGCCCACAACTGGGATACAGGCGTCCAACTACCGTGCCCCACCTATAAAACATTTTAAAATTAGTATTCATGGTACATGCCTGTAGCCCCAGCTGCTCCGGAGGCTGAGGGGGAAGGATCGTTTCAGTCTGGGAGTTTGAGGCTGTGCCGTGATGAGGTATGATCAGTCCAGCCTGGGTAGAGAAGGCAACACTTTGTGCCTCAACAAAACCCAAAACAACAAAATACATATACACACACACAGACAACCTAAACCCTATTGTTTTAGGATAACCACAGCAGCAAAGCTGGCCTAATATTCATCCTCTATCCTGACTGGCTTACCCTGTGTTATTATGCTTCGTGCTTTCTTGTGTGTTTATTTCATTCAGTGACGTTTACTAAATATTTCTGGATAAATACATACACCAGCCCAAGACCTAGTCTCACCCTTGAGATGGTGAGGAAGTTTCCCTGCCATGCCTTGAAAGATCCCTGCAGACCTGCTGAATCAGATCTCCGGGGCGGAGACCCCATCTGCCTTTCAAAGCTCCCATGACGATTCTGAAGGCAGACAAAGGTTCCCCTCACAGATGCAGACAGGTGAGGCAGCCAGGAAAAATGTCATCATGGTACAACAGGTGCAATAAAGAGCCCAAGTGGCCCAGAGGTGGTGCGCTGCCAGAGCAGTGATCTCTGAGAGGCATTTTGAAGGCTGGGAATTGTTGCCAGGTAGGGCATTCTGAGTATAAAAGAAAAAAACAGGTAAATGCATGGATGCATGAAAAGGGAGCGAGCATGTTGGATGGAACTGGACATTTCTAGGGGTGGGAAGAGGAGGATGGGGAGGACACGAGGCCTCCATCTGACCCAAGTGTACACTGGTCACGTGCTTCTGATCCACAGCTGGACCACTGGGCCTTCTGCTGTGGTTGTTGAAATGCACCCCACCACCTGCCCCAGAACCTGTCTCTCCTCTTCTGCATTTTCAACTCAGACCACCTTCAAATCTAGTTCCAATACCACTTCTTCAACAAAGCTGCTTCTGATCGCCTCAGCCAAAACAATCTCCTTCCTCCTAACTACATTTAGTTCTTCATCACTATCTTTAGCTTTCTGGCCTTGATTAGAAGGCATCTGGGTCGTGCTTTATCTCCTGTTAGTTCATAAGCTACTGAGGGGCAAAGTACACATCCAGTTGCCTTAAATCGCCTCCATATGACACAGCTGGGGCTGAAAAAGTTAGCAGAATGTGCTACAAGGTACATTATTGGGTAAATTGATATCATCTCCATCAGATTAGCTACAGAATAAGTCCCATCGTGCTGCCTAACCTTGACTAAGTTTGCTTTTACTTTATGAAAAATATGTCATTTTTTGACTCTATTCCAAACCCAAAAAGCTGTGGTCACATTCTGACAGGGTGTGCTGGGAGAACAAAGGGCTCTGGAGAGCAGCTTCACACCTGAGGACCTTGGGCAAACCACTCAACCTCCCTGAGCTTGTTTCCCACCTGGCAAAATGCTGGCACAGAAGCACTGCTGCGAGCTAAGCAGCGCAGCACGGTGCTTGACACAGAGCAAGAGGATCCGCAGATGGCTGTCCTGGGATGGCATCTTACCTGACCCAGACCAAGGTCAAGAGGTCGAGAGTTACCCAAGGTCACACCTCTAGAAGAGAGTGGCATTTGGGCAGAATCGACCACACGTCTTCCTAAACCCGCCAAAACAACTGTCCACTCTTGATGATCAACTGGATCCCTACAACCACCCCAGGCAGCTAAAGCAGAGTGAAGTCAAAAAAACTCAGGAGTAAGAAGATGGCGATTCACCTATTCTCTAATGCATATTTCTAGTGGAAAAAGCTCTCTTCTTTTGGCAGTTTTGGGATGAGACTAATTTTATTTACAAACGCAGCACTGAAATGAGATGGAATTTTACAGGCGCTGGCAGAACTGCTGGGTTGACAACGAAATACCCACCCCCATACTATCTGTATGTAAATAGAGACAGACAGAGATAAGAAAATGCTAAGAAACAGCAATGAAAAAATGCTGGAGCCGTGGCACTCGCTGTGCCTCAGCCCTGAAAAACTCCCGTTGGTTCCTTTGAATTCATTCCAGGTCTCAGCTGCGGTGTCTGGCCTAAGGGACCACCGACTCTAAAGTGACCCGATCACACCCAGAACCTGCCTGATGATCGTTCTTTGGGTGTGTCGAAAGCTTGCACCTCACATTTAGGTGGGAGTGCCGGATACCCCGTCACTAGAGGCGCTCCTAGAGGCTGACAGTGGTCAAGGCGTGTAAGAGCCAGACAGCACAGAGGAGCCCTGGGCAAGGCTGTGGAGGCAGAGAGGACACGAAGCGGCGTCCCAGGCAGGGCCCAGCGTGAGCATCGGCTCATCAAGTGAGGCTCCTGGGAGGTGTGCAGAAAACTCCAGGGTGGTGGCAGGTGGGGGCTGAGCGCCGTCCTAAGGAACTCAACCCGGGACACCTAAGTCTTGACCGGGTCCAGATACTGGCCTCTCGGCCAAGCAGCTAACTCCTTGTGGGACCTCAGCCCCCTCCGGGCCTCAGTTTCCCCATGTCCCTCCTGGGAGAGGCCTCCTGGAGGAGCCTCACCTGGGACAGCAGGCGCGGTGGTCGGGGGCCTCGGCGCCAGGGTCCCGCTGGAGGGCGAGCCTACTGGGCCTCGGAGGCAGCAGCTGCGCGAGCCAAATCACCTGCTTCAGGACCCGCCGCAGCTGCTCGGGGCCCAGCGGGGTCACATGTGCGGCTGCGCTGGCCTGGAGAAGGCTGGCGGGTCCAGAGATGTCCAAGAGATCCTGCAATTCGTTCCTACCCGGACGCTACTCACAGTATCTGAAAGGGGCATTTTTCAGAAACAGTTGTATAGAGTTCCTTGTGGGGTGGCGGTGGAAAAAAGCTAAAACCGTAGTCGATGCAGCAATCGGAGCCCGCGACCTTGGTGTTATGCCCAGCACCTGAATAACAAACTACCTAACCCCACACTGCCGCTGGAGTGTATACAAAAGGCTCCATGTTCGCGCCATCCACGAGGTCATTCCCTTGCCAAGCCCGCGGCAACATCCTTTCCCGAGTTGGAGACACTGGTGAGAGCCACCGCCCTAGCTGGCCGGGTTCCTCCCATTCTTCCCTGCCAGGGTGCCCTAAACAACCTCTGGGCCGAGACCGAGAGATCCCTCAGTCGCTCCCACCTGCAAGCGCTCAGAGTACTTAGGCGCATTTTTCACAAACAGTTGTGTAGCGTTCCTTTCGAGTGGCGGCGGAAAAGAAAAACAACCTACGACCATGGCGGTGCGGGAATCGAACCCGCGACCTTGGCGTTATCAGCACTGCAGCTCTTTACCAACTGAGCTAACCGACCACCTGATACCATACCCCTACCGGAGCATATAAAAAGGCTCTACGTTCGCGCCCGTCCCCAAGGGATTCCCTGCCAAACCTGCGTGCAGTTGGCTGCCTCTCACCTTCCCCGAGTTGGGGACTCTGGTGAGCCACCACCCAGCGCTGACCGGGTTCCTCCTGCTCTTCCCTGCCAGGCTGCCCTCCACAACCTCTGGGTGGAGACCAGAGATCCACTTGATTCTCCCACCCCCACGCGGCTCACAATACTTGAAAGGTGTATTTTCCACAGTTGCCTCAAAGAGTACCCTGTGGGAGTGGCGGCGGGAAAAAAGCTAAAATTGTGGCGGTGCGGGAATCGAGCCCGCAACCTTGGCGTTATCAGCTGCGCTCTTACCAACTGAGCTAACCGACCACCTGACACCACAATGGCACTGGAGCTTATAAAAGGGCTCACGTTCGCCCCGTCCTGACGATTCCTTGCCCAGCCGCGCGCCTCTGGCTGCCTCCGGCTTTCCTGGAGCTGCGGGCACTCTGGTGAGGGACCCAACGCCCCAGCGCTGGCCATAGTCCCTCCTGCTCTTCCTGCCAGGTTGCCCCTGACAACCTCTGGGCCAAGTCAAGAGATTCCACAAGTGGCTCCTGTCCGCATAGGGGCTTACAGAGCCTGAAAGGCGCACTTTGAAAAAAGTTGCATAAACAGTTCACGGGAAAGAAACAAGAAACAAACAAACAAACAAAACCTGGATAGACCGTCTGCCGTGGATCAAGCCCACCACCATGGCGTTATGGCCTGCACGTGTCCACCAGCAGAGCTAGCCGACCACCCGACCACCTAAGTGCTGCCCGAGCGTCTAAAAGGAGAGGCTGCATGTTGGCGCCGACCCCTTTGTTGACTCATACAGACTGCGCCACTGGCTGCATCGCGTGGCCCAGCTGCGACTTTTGACTTCCTCACTGTCATCCCCATTGGGTGGATGCAGAAACTGACACCTAGGAGACTTCAAGGAGAAGGGGCTGACTTCTACAGGGAACCGCGCGCTTTCACAGGAAAATGCAAATTACATGGGAGGTTTGGCTCTGCAGTAGAGTTTTCAAACATTCCAATTCAATGCTGTTTTTAACTCTGAAAATTCTGCGGCCTGGCAACTTCATGTATCAAGAGCCTTTTAGCATGGTTAAATCAAACTCCAGAAAACCCAAGGCCAAAAGAACCACCGAACTCCTAGCCCAAAAAATAATGGCTGCAGGGGGTCTTGACTTCCTTCTTGTCGATTGTTTTCTTTCACTGTCCACGTGTATTTCAATATATATACATGGAATCCTTGGGCAGGCGGTGGCTCATGCCTGTAATCAGCAATCCGGGATAAGTGTAATAAAAGAACCCAAGCCTTGCTTGAAACAGTGTATTTTGTCTTTCTTTTTGCATTTAATATTCTATCATTAAGCATATGCCTAAATAATTGCAAATGTTATTTTAAATGATTCCTGAGTGTTTTGAGTGGACAAACTACAGCTATCTCTCCTTTTTTCTTTTACTTATTTATTTTTAAGTGTTGGAAAACTATTCATTTGTATTTAGCATTAAGTGAGCACATGAATAAATCACATGGTACATTGTAGAAGAGTTGAAACAGACTCTGGGTTGACAACGATAGTATCTGTATGCAAAAATGAGAGTCAGACAGAGAGGAGAAAGAGGGCAAGAGAGACGAGAGAGACAGAGATAGAAAATGCTGAGAAGCAGCAATGAAGAGAAGAAAATGCTGGGCCGTGGCACTTGCTGTGCGCCTTAGACCTGAAAAGCTCCGTTGGTTCCTTTGAATTCATTCGGAGTCTCAGCTACGGTGTCTGGCCTAGGGACCACATTTCTAAAGCGGCCCCGTCACACCCCAGAACCTACCTGATGTTCGTTCTTTGAGTGTGTCGGCTGCACCTCCTGCATTTAGGTGGGGTGCCGGATACCCCGTCACTGAGCGGCTCACAAGGCTGAACGAGTGGTCAAGGCGTGCAGAAGGCAGGCAACACAGGAGGCGAGGGCAGGCCCTGTGGAGGCAGAGGACACGGCGGCGTCCCAGGCAGGGCCCAGCCTGGTATCGGCTCATCAAGTGAGGCTCACGCAGTGGCAGCCAGGAGTGGGGGCTGAAACGCCCCGTCCCTAAGGAGCTCAGCTTGAAACCTGAATCATGACCGGATCGGATACACAGCCTCCCCCAGCTAAGCAGCCTAACCCCGCCCCGCGTGGCCTCGCCCCCTCCGGGCCTCAGTTTCACATGTCCCTCCCGGAGCCTTTGCTGGGGCGGCAGCAGAAGCGCGGCATGGGGACTCGGCGCCAGTGTCCCGTTGGAGGATTAGCCCTGCTGGGCAGTGTCAGCAGCTGCGTGACCATCACCTGCTTCGAGACCCGCCGCAGCTGCTCAGGGCCCAGCCCAGGCCACATATGCGCGCTGCCGGGCCCGGAAGGCTGGCGCCGCATGCGCCATGGCGAACAAGGCGGGGACTTGAACCTGCGTCACTGGCTGATGACACCTCAACATACCTCCCCTGGTAGCGGCCAGACTAGGTGTGCCCGCAGGCAAGACACCTTAGGCGACTGTGCCCGGCGGGAAGGTCGGGAGCCAGCCCTGCCGTCGCCCCAGCAGCCACCGCAGGCGCCTAGAGTTGATCAGCATGGCCGGACTCACGTTATTTTCTCATTGCCTGTCACGGATGTGTTTAACACTCAGATGTCACCTCTGGAAGCTGTCCCGGATCTCCCAGGCGGAGGTCTTTGAGGTCCCAAAGTCCCTGGCCCTAAACTTATCACATTATCCACCTGCTCTGATGTCATCGTGCATCCCAATCAGCGGAGGATCCTATCTGGACATGCGGACTCTGAGAGGGTTGCGAAGTTTGAATTTTTAAGAAGGTGCTTCCCAACTCCCACATTACTCCACATGTCACCCTACTATCTCTCTCCCTCCCACCCACCCAGACTGCGTGTACCTTGAAGAGAGACATGATATGTTACTCATTCGGTGCCCAGCACAGGCCCTGCCCAGAATGCACGCTCAAGGCATGAAAGATGGACGGATGCATAGAAACCAATAAATGAATGGAGTGAGCGAATGAATAGACCCACCCTCTCCACATGTCGTCTAACCATCCAGCTCACTGCCATACTTGATCGGAATGATCGCCTGTCTTACAGGCTCAGGCTCTAGGTACCCTCCCCATAGTCTTGTAGCTGCAGGTATGTACACACGTCCCAGTTCCTCTCCCCAGGAAGGTGGAGGTCCAAATGGTCAACAAACACGTATTAAGCACCTGGTGGAGTGGGTTGCCATTCCTGCCTGTAGAATTTACCTGAATCTAGGTGTGAAACTGGCATTTGAAGCACAGTATGATGAGTACCATGAAGCCAGGAAAGCCTGGGGGGCCAGGCTGGTGTCAGAGAAAGTTGTAGAACATCATCATCATCGTCGTCATCAATATATTGAATTCACGATGCTCCTACTGTTTTAATCGTGAATTTCCCTATTACGGGATGTCTTACAGCATTTTTATTTATTTATTTTATTATTTTTTTTGAGACAGGGTCTCACTCTGTTGCCCAGGCTGGAGTGCAGTGGCGCGATCTCAGCTCACTACAACCTTGATCCTCCAGGCTCAGGTGATCCTCCCACCTCAGCCCCTGGGTAGCTCGGACTTCATGCATGTGCTCATGCCCAGCTAATTTTGTAATTTTTTTTTAGTAGAGAGAGGATCTCACCATGTTTGCGGGCTGGTCTCCAACTCCTGGAAGCAGATGATCCGCTTGCCTCGGCCCTCCCAAAGTGCTGGCATTACAGGCGTGAACCACTGCGCCTGGCCGGTCAATCTTTCCTAGCTGCTTCCCAAGAGGATTTATGACAACTGAGTTCTTTTGAGATCTTTTGGAAGCTCTGCTTTTCATGGAGTAAATTTCAGGAATTCAAATGCCTTCTGCTCAAATAATTTTCATGCCACACATGGCACATTCTAAACCCCTTCAAGTTCAGGAAACTTGAGGGCAGCAACCTCCACCGACTCCTCCGTGCTCTATCCCTTCATCTAACCCATTACATTCAGCCTGAATGTGACATCCAACTTGTGTACAGGCTTCTATTTTAGTTGTCAGCCTACCCAGGCTCTCCTAACTTTGCTTATAATAACAGCAGCGCCATCAGCTGGCATTTGTTGAGAACTTTTACTACGCTGGAACACCCAGGTTTAAGCCAGTAGTCTGTAGATTTTGAGCAGCTACTGATTTAGGTCAGAGCTGGTAGATGTTTCCACTGGAGAATTTTCCAGAAACAGGTGGGCCTGCTGAATCCTGACAGAAAATGGCACTGACCCTACAACTGGCTTTGTTCAACTGGGCACACCTGAACATCCTGAAAACTTAAAATCACCAAGTGGGGAAATTCATCCACTTGCTCTGGCTGCAAAATGCAGAACCAACAGGAAAAAACGTGAAGCCTAAGATGTCTCTGAAAAGCTTGAGGGAGAAAAAAAAAAAAAAGAGCAAGAGAAGGTTTCCAGAGGCTTCCACAACCACAACGCCTCTCTAAAAACATGGCAGTCATCTACTGGCTGGTCACTTTCTCCACGTGGCTTGGGATTTGTGTCTCACTTACGTTTTGCTCCTGCCTAGAATGGTGCTGGGCATGCAGCAGCCTTAGATACTGCATCTGTGGAATGCATTCATTCCAGACCTGGATTCTGGCCTAAGACTTCCACAAGGCGACCAAAGGGAGCGCGGTGACATATGGGAGCACCTGTCTTCACTGGCGATTCACAGCCTCCAGGAACCGGGGGCAAGCAGGGTGGGGACTGAGGCCAGAGATATGGATGGCTTTGGATGTCCTGAGTGCCCTGCAGGTGGCGGATGGTGCAGGCTCGGCGGGTGGGGGGCCACCGCCCCGCGCATGCCGGTACCTCCCGCTCTCCCCAGCAGGCTGCTCTCCACAACCTCTGGGCGGGGAGTCCAAGAGATCACCGGTCAGCTCCCTACCCAGAGCTG